ACAAGACCATGCAGAGCACCTATCACACGCGCACTGAGGACAAGGTCGAATTTTCGGCCCTCGCCTACAGTGCCTGCGGTCTTGCTGTGGCGAGCTGAGGAGCAGGGCAGGACACCGGACTTTGCCTAGATGGCAAACATGGTAAGCCGTAGACTTGTGGCCGCTTAAAACTTTAAGAGTGGCACTGGCCTCCTTTCACATAGAAAGCAATGCGAGTCTCTGCTGGCAGCAATCCTGCAAGCATGAACTCTGGACCTGTCCCACCCCCTCGCGGCTGTAAACCGCGTGGCTGTAAACCGGCGGTTGCAGTTCTGTAAAGGGACGGGCAAGCAGTCCCAATACTAACTTTCCCCTACCTAATTCACAGCAGGGAGTCATGCCAGACATCACCCTCCTGAAGGTCTCGGAGAGCCAGAAGGAGAAGATGCTCAGGGACAGCCTGCAGAAACCGGGGCCATTTGCTGCAATGCTCTGCAAGGCCATGATCCCCGAGTACCTGCTGGCGTTGTGGCAGGGAAACGTGTCCTACCACGGGGGGCCTAATAAGCTCTCCCTGCCCAGGAACCTGCTCATGAGGCTGGAAAAACACCTGCAGGAGGCGTATGAGGAGTTCTCCCCGGAGGATGTCGCCTCTATCCCCGGTTACATTGACCAGTTTTTGGCTTAGGTGCCCTTGGAGGGACAAATGAGTGCAGCGTTTTGGGCACTATAATCATGAAGCAGACATTGTGAAATTTTTTGAAAATAGTTCGGACTATATATTGAAGCGCCCAAAGACAGACTAATCATGATACACTTTGCACAGATTCCCGTTTTGTTTGACTTTCCTGTTTACATGTTTTGAAGCACTTTACCCACTGTTAATATTTTAAATCTTCCTGTTTTGTTGTAAATAAATGTTTACATGTTTTAAAGCACTTTAGCTATTGTTAATATTTTAAATATGCCAGTTATGTTATAAATAAATGTTGAGATATTTAAAACACTTACTGCTTGATCCTTCCCCTGAATCTGTGTCTGGGATAACGGCTGGGGAGGGTTGGTAGGGGATCTCTGTCAGGGTGATGAAGAGCTCCTGGCTGTCGGGCAAATCAGCGTTGTAAGCGCTGTCTACTGCCTCGTCCTCCTCATCTCCTTCCTCCTCTTCCCCGTCCGCTGAGGAACCGGCCGCGGACAATATCCCATCCTCAGAGTCCACGGTCAGGGGTGGGGTAGTGGTGGCGGCCGCACCTAGGATGGAATGCAGTGCCTCGTAGAAACGGGATGTGTGGGGCTGGGATCCGGAGTGTCCGTTTGCCTCTTTGGTCTTCTGGTAGCCTTGTCTCAGCTCCTTGATTTTCACGCGGCACTGCGTTGCATCCCGGCTGTAGCCTCTCTCTGCCATGGCTTTGGAGATCTTCTCATAGGTCTTTGCATTCCGTCTTTTGGAGCGCAGCTCGGAAAGCACGGACTCATCTCCCCACACAGCGATGAGATCCAAGACTTCCCGATCCGTCCATGCTGGGGCCCTCTTTCTATTAGATTGCACGGCCATCTCTGCTGGAGAGCTCTGCATCGTTGCCACTGCTGCCACTGCTGCTGAGCTCGCCACGGTGTCCAAACAGAAACTGCGCTTCAAACTGCCCAGACAGGAAAAGGAATTCAAATTTTCCCGGGGTGTGGCTGGTCAGAGCATCCGAGCTCGGACTGCTGTCCAGAGCGTCAACAGAGTGGTGCACTGTGGGATAGCTCCCGGAGCTATTAGCGTCGATTTCCATCCACACCTAGCCTAATTCGATATGGCCATTTCGAATTTAGCGCTACTCCTCTCGTTGGGGAGGATTACAGAAATCGATTTAAAGAGAGCTCTATGTCAAACTAAATGGCTTCCTGGTGTGGACGGGTGCAGGGTTAATTCGATATAACGGCGCTAAATTCGACATAAAAGCCTAGTGTAGACCAGGCCTTAGAGTAACACACGTTAGAGACAAAAAAGGGAGGCTTGGGTGAGAGAAGGGTCCTATAATTTCAGGTCCATGTATTTGATATGCCTTTGGCTTAACGTGAGCTGATGTAGTGAGAACACTGTTTCACATATTCTGTCCTTTAAAGGCTCCCTCATGGATGAAAACCTTTGGAGCTGGAGACTTGGATTTAAATCTTCGAAAGCCCTTCCCAGCTTATCCATTAAATGCCACAAGCAGCTGGCCATGTACCAACAAGAATCAACATACAGTGCCAGCGGAAAAGTCAACTTTTCAAACAAATACCTTGGTTGCCAGCAATGTGGGGACAGGAACTAGAAAACAGATTATAAAGGTAATGGATTTATATGTATTTTCCCAAAATGTGAATGAATTTATTGCTTGTGAAAGTAAGGAATTAATAGCTTGGGCAAGCTTCTTCCACCCAACTCTGCCAGTGCCCCTCAATCCCAAACTGTAAAGGACTGCTAGTTATTCTAGTCCTTCAGTTTCATGCCATTTAAGGCAGCTTGTAAGATGGGCATCATGGGGGCTAGGATGAGATCAGCTGACTCCATTCCACCTGTGATCAAAGCTGGAATATGAATGAAAGATAAATCCCGTTAGATAACAAGAGGATTTGTATTCAATAGCTGCATTTTCTTTATAGTTTGACCAAGCTTGAAAGTAAATTAATATGTCCTCAGTGCTGGCATCAGCAGTTTAAAACATAAACATGATTCCCTTCTGCACTAGTATTTATGGCTGTGAAAACCTAACTTCCAGCATTAAGGGGTAAGTAATAAGATACCAGTAACAGAAATTGACCAGACCTCCTACATATCGGCTCTTATGTGGCAATGGTCATAGAACACCGCCTCTCTATCAGCTGTTTCACACCAGTGCTGTGTGGGTCCATGAGGGACACCCTGTGTTCTTGTATGCTTGGCTCCTTCCAGGCGAGTGAATACATTGGGGGGATATAAAAGCTCAGTCTGCTTCTAGAGTTGACTAACTGGAGTGAGGATTGGAGGGGTGTAGGAATCCTGTTCTGAATATGAGACTGGTTTAAGGGCAGGCAACTGTTATTGAACAGTTACCAACAAGTAACTTTATGCACTAATAATTGTGCTGGTTGCCAGAGAACTAACTGGAGGTTTAAAGGAACGTTTATGTCTGTGAATGAGGCTAGGGCAAGAGTTTCTATTCTATGATCAATAAACTTGAGCTGTGCTCGTCACCTCCTTTGTATATTTATTGTAAAGATTTTTCAGAATCATTAGAGACTGTGTCACATGACCTTAACTTGCAGACTGTGGGCATAGAATTGTAAGATACAAGTCCAATGCAGTTGGACAGAAGCAGCATCTTCCTAATGCAAATAATAAGGTAATTGTTTTAAGAAATAGAATCCAAACTGCAAAGTGATGTCTGTCAGTGTGAAAACTTCCATGGGGAGGACAGGAAAAAAAGTCAAGCCATTTTGATGTGACTTCCTCAAGGCCACAGAGAGTTGATGTCAAAGCAAGGCTTAGAGCTAAGGAATTCCTGGCTCCCACTCATATGCTTAAACAGAACTTTAGGGTGGAAATAACTTCTTTGATTTGCACGTAGGTTCAGCAGCAAGACTCGGACGTGATCTACATTTGAAGCGTCTCAGCGATTCAGTAATGCTTTCATCAAGAAGTGAATAGGCAGAACTTCAGAGTAATCCATTTGGCTGCCACAAGTTACTTACACAAAACCACTATATACCTTTAGCTACTCGATGTCAGCATCAAAACATGTCCTGTAATGAGTGTGGTGCTGCTCAGCGTCCAGAGAGGCAGCATATGCCTGTAGCAGTGAAAATGACAAGCATCTTTCAGAGTGGCAAATGTGAAATAATATAGGAGCCAAGTTACATCATTTGTGTTTCGTGAGAAAACATTTTACATTTAAAATGCCTTTTATCCTAAAGTGCTTTTTAAACTACAGAGCACCACTGAAATGCAGGACCCTTTTAAAGCAAAGAGTAGCAAATAGTCAGTGGAACACACTGTGGGAGGAGGAGATGTTTGGGAAAATTCCTGCTTTTATAAAAAAAATTTACATAGAGCACACATGACTTTGTGTTTTAAGTCTTAGCAGCTGGTGGGACACTTCTAAAGCCTGTTTCAGCATAGTTGTTAGTCCACAGAACATTTTTCACTTCTTATCCCTAAACATAACAGACTATCCACATACTTGACTTGTGTTTCTATTCGAGTTTAGCTCTTAATTCTAAATTTAGGATTGGACAGGCTTTTTTTGTAGGTCTTAATACATCTATTTTGATGTCTCCATGGAGATGTGAATGAATCCTTAGTGTGGAAGTGCAAGGCTTCTGTTTCTATATGGTTTTTGTGATAGTGTGGAATACCTTTTGCTGCTGCCACCTGTAGAAGACTGCATAACTTACTGTCTCAGAGAAATTTAAGTACTAGAGACAAAGGACACCTAACTGGTATCTGCTAAAGAGGAACTAGTCTCTGATGAAGACTAAACATGGTATCCACCACCCAGCATCTACTTTATCAGTAGAACCATTTTATACTTGAGGATGTTGTGCATTAAATGTATATTTAACTGAGATCTTCATACAGACTTCTATGGAAGTAGACAATACAAAATTGTAGCTAAAATAGGTTGAAGATGCAGGACTGAGTAAAAATGGATGTTAATGTTCATAAACATCTAGTCCTATAAGTTAAAAATCTAAAGTATATTGAATAAAGCTTCAATTCCTTCTAGCTGTCAGCTTTTTAAATGTGTATGTACATATTGCTTGGATTTAGCTTTAAAGGCAGAGCATGAACCTCTGAGCACTGACAAGGTAGGTGTACTACATGTACTCCTTTACTAGTCTTCATCTCTACTTCCTCACTTAACTTGCTTATCCTCTAACAGTAAGATGACAATTATAAACCTCTACATGTATCTTCTTGAAATGTGATTTGTGTCCATATTCAGGAAAACACTGTGCAAGGAAGTACAGGTGTTAGTTGAAGTAGAGCTGAAAGTCAACACACGGGCTAGTCAACAACTTTAATACGTTTTATTTGATACCTGTCTGCCATTCTTCCTGACCCATAAATACTAAACAAACCAACTGTACATAAATTACAAAAAAATCAAAAAGGAACTCCCTCTACTAAGAAAAAACACCTGAAAAGTTCACCCAAATCCAGGAGAAGGCTTTACAGGGAAATAGACTCTCTCTCCCCCCCATCTTCTTAGCAAGTTTGTGAACTGGATTCTGCTAAATTACTGCAACTCCTCTTTCGCCTGCTAGCTCCCAAGTTTACTCTTCAGAAACTAAGCTTTATCACTAAAGAAAAACTGCTCTAATCATTATGGATGCAGTGATGGCTGAAGCTGCAGGCAACCCAAAACACTAGATGAGATTAATGAATTGCCCAGTTAATCTCAAGGGGATATTAATACTGATAAGTATCTTTGGTGCTCAACCATCTCAAAGATGAGCACAATCAAGAGCTTATCAACATGGGGAAATGTGCCAGCTTAACTGTACCAGTATAGTTTGTGTATAGCCACTTAGTCTAATGTATGTCCACATAAGAAGACATGGCAGCAAAATCACACAGGTAATTTCAATTTTCAAAATGCTTAATGACTAAGGAACCCATATCCCACTGACTATCAGTGGGACTTAAACGCCAATGCAACTTGGGTACTTCTAAATTTCTTATTGGCCTCCCCTGCAATCCGACCCATGAACAAGCTCAGGCTGTCAGAGTAAAGGGGAGGTAAATTTCTGAGAGGGGCACAGAGGGGCTTTGCTAGGTACTTGTGTGTTAGTTTATAACTACAACAAACAGATATTGCTAACAACATCTAGGTCTTTACAGAAACTGTATGCATCAAATCAGAGGACAGCTGACAACTTTGTCACAAAATACATATGCCACTTCCCTCTAAGAGGCAGCAAGTGACCACTGTACTAGCTCATCCCCTAAACTAGGAAACAGAAATGGTACCAAACAACTAATGCATATTTTGCTGCATCATACTACTGTCACAGAAGTTGATGTTTAATGCCAGGGGCTCCATTTAAACTCCATGTTTATCCTTGAACAATCCCTGGATGGGTAGGCCAAGTTAGTATCATTTACTCTTTCCCCTCTATTTTGTATTCTCCCTCAGGAAGTATGAATACATTTCTTGGAGCTGCTTAGCTGTATTATTCATATACTATCTTGTTTGAAAAACTGTACTGTAATTTTAGCAAAGTAGTTTAGAGTGCTGTATCTTCTGCAGCAGGTGGGTTGGTAGAAAGTGTGTGTGGACATCAGCAAGACACACAAAGGGTCTAACATGAAGATACTAGAGAAGTTTAAAGCATTTTGGCTTTTATCTTGGATAAGAAAAGGAACATATACAAGTTCAGCAGGGGAAAACTAAGGTACACTGGGAGCTTGTCTATCTCAAGGAGCAGATTCCTTTACCTAGTCTAGATCAGGTTTATTTTAGTAGGGAATTTTTGCATATTTTGGGAGCACAGCTTCAGCCTCGCAGAAGCATAAAGGACCACTACACTAGTGCCAGATCCTATAAAATACTTTATGTATATATTATAATTCATTTAACAGTTGAAAGAATGAATTAGGGGAACACTTTTCTCCAAGTTAGGATGTATATTTTGCATGTATCCCATGAATAAAATATAGAAGAACGGTCTATTTACAAATAGTGAAATTTCTCTAGCATGTGGCAGTCTAGGTCACTCATATTTAATGCTGCCATTAAACAAGGTTAATAATATATGCACTGTTTTAAGAGTGACACTTCATTTAGTTCTTTTGCCTGTGCATGTTTCTCCTCATACGCAATAAACGGCTCTGGGATATATGCAGCCTTCCACCCAGCACTAAATTAAAGGGAAAAGGGCTCGGCCCAGATGAACACCAATATAATCAATACCCACACCAAAACGAAGCTAGTATAGCCTTTCACTGTTAAGTCCTATAACTTTATTCTTAGTGCATATTGAACACTCAAACCCCTCTTTATTAAAAGGCACTTGTTACCCAGACAAATGCAAGGAAACACGGCCTGGAATAATCCCAAATAGAGCTAGTGACAGCAATTATTTGGCAGCAATAGGTTGGAAAAACAAAAACCTTAACAGAATGAGGTGGCCTAACGCTGCCTCTTTATAGTGTTTGCCACAAAAGTGAAGTTGGTGGAAGGGTTTTATTCAAACTTTTCATCTCCTTCTTCCACATCTTTCAGACTGAGCACTTCGAGCGAGCCTTTCCCTTTAGTCTCACACCGGATCAGTTCGTCGATCTCCCTGAAGCAGCCTGGATCAATGAGGCATACCTGAAACATTTTACATATCAGTCAGTGAAGATTTTAGCTTACACTGTGTCCTTTTCTCCTATGGCAATTTAATATACAGAGATGACTGACCCACTCGGAGTTAAGAAAACTTTTCCACATCCCTAAAATCCTATATTTAAACAATCCACATGGATCCATCTTTTGTCTGAGGGAGTTTTGCAGCTCCACCTGCATATGCTCAACCTAGTGATAATGCAGCAGTGAAATTGCAGAAGAAGCCCAGTCTGTTGTAAGTAGCCCAAAGTATTACTGATTACAGATCTTGTTTAATTTATAGTTATTTTGGTGGAATACCTTTTAAATAAGTTACAGTACGGTTAGAACTGAATTGCAGTAAGATATGGTGCATGTGTTTTGCACTGTGACAATTAAAATTTACCATCCTAACATATAGGGGACTGGCAAAATGAGAAAAGGAGGAAGTTAAACATATCACTGCTAAGAGTTGCTGCATTGTACTTTTCAAAGTTTGAGCCAGCAATTCTACAACAAATATGGGTACAAGTAGATGACTGAGTCAAGAACTCTTATTCCTCAAGCAAGTGTTCCGACAGTCCTGAGCCTTTTAAGGCTTGAAAGTAGTCACTAAGACCATGAAGAATTTAAAAACCCCAAACCCTAAATTATGCATCTCTGATTAATTCAATTTCAGTGCTTTAGTACAATTTCAGCTAACCCAAACACAGGTTTTACATGTAGCCTTCAAAAGAACAACTAAATGTAGAAAAATGGACTATAGAAACTAGATTCTTACAATTTCTAACTGCTCATCGAAGTCTTCACTCTCTATAACTTTGATCAGTGGTTTGAGCTTCTCTTTGAGCTTCTTGCCCTCTTTTGCTGGGAGAATAAACCGCAGTCTCATGTGAGCCCGCTCAATCTGCATAGTCTCCTTTAACTGTCTGATCACTTCCAAAGCCTGCAAAGACATTAACTACAAATGAAATTTACATATGCTCATTTGTTATTTACATAGCACCATATCCCACACTCAGGTTTAGCATTATTTACAACCACTTATAGATGCTCCAGAAACATTCCTTGGTACCATCCACTGGAATTCTCCAGGAACGTTTGGTATATTCTAATCAGAACTGATTAACATGAAAAGGCAGATCTTCTCAAAGTATTGCTGGAATTGGACTTAAGGTGTCAGAAAAGCAGGAAATGCTAAACAAGGCAGTTATATCAAAACTATAAAAGTCAGGACATTCAAAATTAAGGATAAACACACTGTCCCACTGAACCACAGGAGGTAAGACGAGAGCATAAGCATTAAGTATTCTTGCTTTTGTTTTACACCCAACTTTGCTGCTGTTTTAATAATCTGTAGTTAGTTTCCTTCCTCCCTTTCATGGGCAGATACAAACCAAACTACAAAGTTTCAGAATACAAGTGTTTCTTTCTAACATTCAGCTCCTATGCCACCTTTGTCTGTCAAACAATGCTCACTTACCATCCTTAGATTTAGGCTCAAGTGACTCCTGTGGATGTTAATAAGGAAACTATATACAAAAATTCTTTTAAGTAAAAACAGAATTTTTGGGGACTGATACAGACCTGCTGTTTGGTGCTCTTGTTTGGTTTAACAGAATAGTGGATATCCTTCATGGCTCTTTCTATAAGGATTACTGTGTATGGCCTCTTTGTTTCAGGATTCACACATTTCTCAGCGACAATGGTTGCAATGTCTCTAAACATCTGCTCCAATTGTGTGTGTCGCTCTTTGTCAGATACCTGCAACTCCCCTTTTGTTAAAATCTAGAAGTGATTAATCAAGAATTAAAAATTATATTCAATAGTAATAATACATATTTGACTGAAGAATAGCTCTGGGAAAGTTATTGATTTGTTTTCAAAGTAACCATTACAGTATGTCTTAGCTTAATTTGTGTATATATCTTTAACTTGACTAGGTTATTCTGCAGCATGTCAAGTATAACACTAGAATTTTTTCATAATACAAAAAAAACGGTATGCAAAAGTGTAACGCTTGTCTCATTAAACTATAAAAAGGAAACTAGTGTTTTTCAGATAAGGGTCAAATCCTACAAATGAAGTTTGTATAAGTGTACCAACAAGGGGACCAAAAAAAAAAGTAACAGGTTTATTGAACACTGAAACTATTTCAAAACAAACAGCATTACTGAATATCTTGTTTGATTAAAAATGCAGATTTACTATTCATCCCCACTCATTCCTATTACATTATAATTAGACCAATATAACAAAAAAAAATCTTTTGGATCAAGACACTTGTGAAATAAAACTATTACATTTCTTCCTCCATCCCTATCTTACATTAGAAATTGGTCTAGCTAAAGTTCTTTGGGACAGGGACCTTGCTTCGACAGGTCTGTAAAGGACAATGCATCCTAATGATGCTATATAAAAAGTGCAAGTGGTCAGAACTCAGTTTTATAAATATCTCACTAGAAAGATCAGATATCAAGAAGAATGCCCCTTCCCTCCCCACCAGGAAGCTGGTTCAGTAGTGACTGAAAGGGAAAAGTATCCTTTACTGAATCAGCAACATACCTGCCTATAACAACTAGGCATTGCATGGACATCCCCCATCAGTTTACTGATCTAATATGACCCTGCTTTGCTCACAAGATCTGTGAGGAACACATGACAAGCACAAAGTGGTGTTGCTGAAGACCACAGATTTAAACCACTTTATTTCCAAAGAGAAGGGAAAAATATGTTTACCCAAAACTGTGATCAATAATAGAAAAAACAAAAAACAAAATATGTAATATACTAGAAAAGTCATTAAACTCTAACAGCATCAATTAACAGATGGATATTCAGTTTAGCTAAATTTTAATGGAGGAAGGCTAGAGTCTTTTGTGATTCACAATAAGGTGTGTTAACTCTACGCTTTCATGTATAGGGGACCTACCGTCTTGCAGATTTCTGTTTGGTCATCAGTTCCAAAAGCTTTGAGGAGATCTTCCTTCTTTGCAACTTGACCTTTAGAGACGTTTACAAATACTGTGTTGGTCTGTAGAACTTCATCAATGTCTTTTTCACTGGTAAATAACAATTGTATTCACAATTAGAAAACACATGCAAGCATAGCATTAACTAGCAGGGAGTAGTCTTGTGGCCCCTACTCTGCATCTGAGGCTAGGGCACCAATTAGTGGAAGCTGGGAACTTGAGTGTGGGCAGCTATCAGACCTCCTCCCCAGGAGGAATGCTATTTGGGGCCCTCCGTAAAACTAACTATCTAACACAACATGAAGATGCCTTTTGTAGCTTTATGGAGTAGTTAATTCATTACTAACTTCTTAAGAGGACACCATCAAGTGACTTAAATGAGACACAAATTTCCTTCCTAGATTACTATCACCATGTTGGTTATTAAAAAGGCAAGGATTTTAACATTTCCTCTAGTTTATACTGCTTGTTTACTTTCCATCACTTCTTGCAGCTGGAACCATGAAAATCAATTAAGTTGGTCTCATATTTTGGTTCTTGATGCTGAAACATTTGCGTTGCATGCACTGCCGAATGTTTTTGTTTATAGAGAACTATTTTCACTGGAATTTTAAAAAATGTCATTGTTTAAGAGTTGGTTTTCACAAAAAAAAATTAGATGCTGGGGTTAAACAATGGCTAGTTAAGTCTGTGCAGTCATTAATGTTCCTTTAGGACTTCAAATATGACATATAAAGTATTAATTTTGTGGGACTAGTCTTTGATTTTTTTTCAAAGTTAAACCCTTAGCTATGTCAGAGAAGCTAAAGAAAAAACATGGTTGAGACAATGAAATATAAAAGACTCTCAATAGGCACTCAAACATTATGCTGATAGGGATAATATAAGTCCCAGAGAGAAAAACATATGAAATGGGAGTTTTTGTTTCATAGTGACTGCAGGGAGAGGTCTTTATTCTCAAACTGCTGTTGCCTCTTCAACATTACTGGTGCAGAAACATAAAACAAGCACTGCCAACTGCAAGCCCCTGTATAAACATTGCAACAAACAAAACAGATCAATACTTTCCAAATAAGAGCAGTAAAAACTGGCAGTGGCAACAGAGGGTATTTCTAAATCCTGAAGTAAAACAACATCCACAAGAAGAGAAGGAGCAACAGTTTCAAAGGAGGGACACTTCCTCATGCAGAGGGTAGGAGGACATTTAGAAAAGTTAAGGCAAATAAACTAAAGGTGTGAAGATACTTTCAAAGGGCAAGGAAAGATGCAAGGAGGATCCAGGAGACTACGCTGGCATAACCCTGTAGCATATATGCAGCCTACACCAATGCAGGAACACCACCTCCCCAACTGACAGTAACTAGGTTGATAGAAGCATTCTTCCATTGACAAAACTGCAGTACTCAAGGGTGTGTTTTTCATACCCCTGACTAATATAGCTACCTCAGCCTAACTTTTAAGGCTATGGCTACACTACAGAGTGCTGCTGTGAGCTCTATAGTATAGCCACTCTAAGCAGACAGGAGAGACCTCTCCCATCGACTCAGTTAATCTACTCCCAACAAGCGGCAGCACCTATGTCAGTGGAAAAAGCTCTCCCACTGCCACAGTACTGTCCGCACAGGTGTTTAGGTCCATGCAACTTATGTCACTCAGGGGCTGACATAAGTGGTAATGTAGACATAGCCTGAGTGTAGGCCATGCTTAGTTACAGGAAACTAAGGCCATGTTTACTCCTGAATGAGAGCATCTACACGCTTTAACTTATGTGCATTGACTCCATGCCTCTAGCTGATTCTTCAG